GGGGAGGAGGTAATAGAGGGAGATCCAGGGTTTTCGAGAGAAGCCATTTTGAACCGATCAAGAAAATTGACTTTGGCTCAGAGGGATTTTGGGCTGGGGCCGACGGGGAATGCGATTGTGGTTGGGGTGTGGACACGGTTTTGGGATTCGATTCTCTTTTTCTGGGGAGTGCGGGCGGCGTGTTGCGGACCAATGTGGTTGCGAGGACGAGTTTGTGGGTGTATTTGGTGGTGTTGCATTTGTGGGTGGCGTTTGTGTGGCTCATGCATTTCCCATTCCACCATCATCACTCACACCATGAGCATGAGCATGACGCTCATCATCCACACCAACAGCGTCGATGGTGGTAGATACGGCTTGATCCGAGGTTTTCCATGCAGTATTTATATTATTAAAAGAACATGCCGCATAAAAATACTCTCCACAAATTGCTGCATGCTCCTTTTTCTGAACCTGTATTGCCAGCTCCAGCCGTGCTATCTATAGTTGAATGCGCAGATTGTTATAAATACAGAAAGTTGGTTTAATTTGTTTACGTAGTACTAAAAAATGCCCCGAGAGGATACGATGATTTTCCATTATCGCGTACCAAGTCAGACTGCATCGATTTGCATGCGCCACCAGTGCACCGCCTAGCAAATTCCTCTCCCCCCTGATCCTCACTCTCGTTACAGTCACAGCCATGTCTTCCCCGTTACTCGCCGCCAACGTCTACATTTCCCTCGCGCGCTGCGCCTCGCTCCTACAATCTCTCGCCTCCTCTCTCGCCGCCTCCCGCGCGCCAACCAGAATCCTCCACGTGTTCGAAGACGAGCCGTACGCGCGCGAACGGGTGTGACATTAGCGGGGCCTGCGCGTGATCTGGAACGGACGGTGATCCTGCTTTCGGGCCGTGCGATCGAGACCGTTGATCTGAGGCGCCACGTTGGCAGCCACCCGTGCATTGGCGCGGTGGACCACGTGGCCTGGCACTCCGGCCGCTGCTGCGTGCTGAGCTGGCAGACGCTGCCACGTCAGCGAGAAACATCGGGAGGAACCTGGGACAGCATCACGGGGGTACGAAAGAACGCAGAATCTTCGAAAACGCAGAGCATTCTTTAGAGTTCTCTCAACTTTCTTATAACTGCAAGACACTCGTTCGCCCCAACCACTCTCCACCCCTCCCCACCCCTTCCCAACCCTCCCCACCGCTCCCCACCCCGCCCCACCCTTCCCCACCCCTCAGTCCCCGTGCACCTGTACGGCGCTGCGAGTCCCACAAACCGCCCCTGGACGCCATTCGCCGTGACCTAGGTTACTTCAAACACAGCCCACCTCCGGCCTCATCCATACCCCCCTGCGCGCCCCCCGATCCCTCTGGAGCACTGGACACTCTCCCACCTTCTCCGGACCCCTCCATACCTCTTCCCGAGCCTCCATCCACACTTCCTCCCAAGCCTCTTTCCATACCTCCCTACTTTGGGCCCCTCCACCCGAACCCTCGCAAGGGCAGAGTTGCAGTTGGCGCCGCTCCGTGGGTGTACAATTACAACATACCCATTCAAACCCCCTCTCGGGTCTCCCAAACCACCCTGGCCGCTGCTAGAAGGGTGGCCAGGAGAGTGAGTGAGAGGGGAGGAGGGGTGGTGTGGGTACAGAGTATGGCTTTACTGCATGGGGAGGAATTTGTCGAGATAGCTTGTAATATAACGGAGCCTGACGCACCAGCAGCAGGAAAAGCTGATTTGGAAAATGAGGCACAGGAGCGGTGAAAGGGTGTTTGGGGTTTGAAGCAGTGGCAGCAGGGGAAGTGCAGCGAGCAGTGGAGGAGGGGGTAGAGAGGGAGGAGGCGTTGCAAGGTGTGAGGGTGGTGGAGGGGTATTCGCCAGGGCTGACGAGACAAGAGGCTTTGAAGACATATTTTGACATGGAGGCAAGAAAGGTGTGGGTATGATGTGAGAGTGGGGAAGTGCGGAGAGCAGTGGAGCAAGGGGTAGAGAGGGAGGAGGGGTTGCAAGGGGCGAGGGTGGTGGAGGGGTATTCGCCAGGGCTGATGAGACAGGAGGCTTTAAGAATGTATTTTGAGAGGAGAAAAAGGTGTGGATATGATGTGAGAGTGGGGAAAGTGCAGCGAGCAGTGGAGGGGGGTGGAGAGGGAGCAGGGGTTGCATGGGGCGAGGGTGCTGGAGGGTTATTCGCCAGGGCTGATGAGACACGAGGCTTTAGGTATTTATTTTGACATGGATGACGGAAAGGTTTGAATTTGATTTGATAAGATGTGATATGGTATGATGATATGGGAGTGGGCGAGGCGAGGGGATGGAGGTGCGAGTGGAGTGGGTGAGTGAGAGTAGAGAGAACCAAGGAGGTATGGGGATGAGGTGTGTAAGTGGAGCGGTGGCAGCAGGGAGGGTTGGGGCAAATAGCAGTGAATGATGTGGGTCCTCGCTAGGTTCTGAACCCCCCTGATGCATCAGACGGGCCCTTCGGGCCCGTCTGTTGCATCAGAAATTTTACTTTGGAGTGTCTGACGAATCAGAAATTTTAAAAAACCTTGTCTGACCAATAAATCCGAAGTAACTAGTTTTCTGGTGCACGTGGGAAAAAACCTGAGTCGAACTGACCTGTGAAATTCATTCGAAGGCACACAACACTCGCCCTGTTGACATTCGCTCCATCACACCACATTGGGCCCCGTCACACCACATTCGCCCCGTCACACCACATTCGCCCCGTCACCTTACACCACATTCGCCCCGTCACACCACATTCGCCCCGTCACACCACATTCGCCCCGTCACCGCACACCACATTCGCCCCGTCACACCACATTCGCCCCGTCACCGCACACCACATTCGCCCCGTCCACCCATTCGCCCACCCTATCACAAGAGGGATTCGCACTGCTTAGTGTAGAAATCCGCCCTGACACAACGAGTCAAGTTGACCCAGTCAACCTGTCAGAGCAGAGATTCAGGCACTGTCATGGCAGGGATTCCCTTCCCCACCGCTGGAAATCGCGATATGCTATGTTACGGTTTCAGACGAAACAGGAAACACTTGTCTGATAGAACAGATGAAAACCAGAAACCATTTCTGATCAATCAGATGGCATGAAAAAACATTTCTGGAAAATCAGATTAGTGGAAAAAAAATCTGTCTGATTTCTCATAAAAACAGACAATAATGTCTGATAGCGAGGACCCTTGACGAGCAGGGGATGGATGGGATGGGATGGTTGGCGGAGGCAAGATGGCAGAGGGGGCATTCAAGCAATGCAAATGCCATGCTTCGTACCAAAGCTCATGGCAAATGCATACGGTATTTTTATCTATACAGTAGCAGTGCCAGCAAAGCACGAAGCCCTTGAGAAGTGCAGTGCTGCTTTGCTGATAACTAATGCACAAGATGAGATTGAACAGCTCAGGTACAAACGTCTTCTGACGTTGCAGAACTCCTGGGAAGGATCAAAATCAATTAAAGCAACACACACCTGCAGTCTCCATTCCATCCATCCCACAATCTTGTGACCTCCTCCTAGCAATTATCATTTCAGAGTATGCAAGTCTACGGTGCAGCTAGTCAAATCTGAAGCCACCAGGGTCAGGGGGCCAATTGAGTTGTTGCAAAACTCTCGGCCCAGAAAGAGTTAGCGCTGCACAATGCCAGAACGAAACGCATGAGAAGGATGGAGATAAAAAGCTGGCGTTGGGGTGCTTATTAACTTAAGGAGTGCTTTACGGTTTAGAGTGTGGGGAAGAATGACAGGACCTTGTTTTTCGCTCACCTTGCCCTTGCCCTTGTCCCCTCCGCTGCTCTTCTTCCCAGCCGCCTTGCCTCCACTGCTCGCTGCCCCTCCTTTCCCACCCGCTGCCCCTCCAGCTGCTGCACGGCTGCTGCTCCCCCTCCTGCAGCAGCAGCAGCCGCCTCTGCAGCCTTTGCTCTCCTTGCTGCTTCATCTGCTGCTTTCATGCGTGAAATGGCTTTCTTCAAACTCTCTTCTACCTGCAAGGAGGGATGGAGTGGAGTGGAGAGGGGGAGAAAGTTTAAGTAAGAAAAGACAGCCTCTTCATCTGCTGCTCTCATGCGAGACACAGCCTTCTTCAAACTCTCCTCTACCTGGAACGAGGGGAGGAAAGGGGGGGAGGGGGGAGGAAGCAGAAGCGAGTGAGTACACATGTGCTCTCTCGCTGCTTCATCTGCTGCTTTCTTTTATGCGTGAAACAGCCTTCTTCAAGCTCTCCTCTACCTGCAACTAAGGTTGAAATGGAGAGGGGAGGAAATGAGCGGCAAGAGAGAGAATGCGCATGTGCGTACCCTCTTTGAAACAACCTTCCCTCCATATGCCCTTCCTACCCACCTTTCCTCTCCCTCGCACTTTATCGTTCTGCCAGGCCTCCTCACCACCAGGCAGCAGACCAGCATTTTCTCCTCAACCCCTCCTCTGTTGCTGCAGCATGCTTTGACGTGTCTAAAAACACTTATCCCTCTCCCCCCTCCCACTCAAAGTATCATTCTGGCAGGCCTCCCGCCAGGCAGCATCCAGATTTTCCCCCAACTCCCTCTGCTGCTGCAGCATGGTTTGACATGACTGGAACAATCCCCCTCCATCTCCCTTCCCCTCTCCCCCCTCCCACTCACCTTATCATTCTGCCATCTCTCCCGCCAAGCAGCATCCGGCATTTTCTCCCCACCTCCCTCTGCTGCTGCAGCATGCTTTGACATGACTGGAAAAATCCCCCTCCCCTTCCTCCCTTCCCCTCCTCCCCCCTCCCACTCACCTTATCATTCTGCCAGCTCTCCCGCCAAGCAGCATCCATCATTTTCTCCTCCACCTCCCTCTGCTGCTCTCACTGTGCAAAAACCCTTTCCCAGATGCCCTACTGCGTTATCCCCTCTCGGTCCTGCCACTCACCTTGTCGTTCTGCCAGCTCTCCCGCCCTGGAAGGTCTGTGACCAAGGGGGAAAGTAGGGGTTGTGAGGTGGTGGAGAGGGGTTGAGAACGGTTGCACTGCTGCCTCTCAGCCTCCCCCTTTCACCTTGGAGGGATCAGGCTCCTGCACCCAGTCTAGCTGGAAGGTCTGGAAAAGGGTGAAGCGGAAGTGAGGGAAAGGAGGAGTTTTGCAAAGGTGGAGATGGGTTGAGAACGATTGCAGAGCCGCCGGTCAGCAAGGGGCACAAGGGAGACTCAAGGATTATAAGTTGGGAAAGGTTGTAAGGTCAGGCTCTTTTCCCCCTAAACATTACCCTAAACATTACCCTAAACATTACCCTCCTCAAGCCAAAGCCACACACCAAAGTCATTAGGTGGGGGAGGAAGCATAGCATCACTTCCATTGCCTTCCCCCAACCTCCTCTGTCCTCTTCTCTCTTCCTTCTCCTCCTCTCTCCTCTCTCCCCCTTCTCTTCTCTCTCCTCTCTCCCTCCGCTTCCTTCTCCCCCTCACTTCTTCACACTCTCTCCTCCACCTCCCCCCCAAGCCTAGCTCCCAACTCAACCCCAAGTCTATGTGTCGGGGGGGAGGCATCCACCAAACCGCCTTCCCCCAACTGCTCTCTCTCTTCTCTTCTCTTCTCTTTCTCTTCTTCTCTTCTCTTCTCTTCTCTTCTCTTCTCTGCTCCTCCTGCCTTCTCTTCCTTCTTTCCCTTCCCTCACTTCTCTTTCACTACACTCAGCCCAAGTCTCACCCCAAAGTCTTTGGGTCGGGGAGGAGGAGTCATTTTCTCCACCTTCTTCCGAGCCTCCTCCAGAGCTGCGGCCATCCGAGCCTCCACGTCGCCCTCCAGCTTCGGCAGCCGCCGAGCCTTGGGAGGCTTGGTTCGGATGGCAGCATCGAGCTCAGGGTCGTTGAGAGCCGCAGATGGATCCATTTCAATTAAAGCCTGGAAAGTCGTGGGGAACGAGTCAAAGTGGGTTTGGGAAGAAGAGGGGAGGCGAGGGAGCGAGGCGAGGGGCCGAGGCGAGGGGGCGAGGGGGGGGGCGAGGCGAGGGAGCGAGGCGAGGGAGCGAGGCAATGGTTTGGTTGAAAATATTTAGAAGCATGAACCAGAGGGACACAGGGAGACACAGACGAGCACACATGGAGTCACGAAATCTTGAGAAACTTTTTGGTCACACAAATTTGAGCTTCAAGACTGGGATACAGGCATGGAGTGAAGGAACGTACTGAAGGCACCCGTCACCACATGGCAGAACCTCCCTGCCACTCCGGCTACTTCTGCAGCACTGCCTCTCGCATGCCCTCATACCACTGCTTCCTCATACCGCTGCTTCCTCATACCGCTGCTTCCTCATACCGCTGCTTCCTTTCACTGCCACTGCAGCACGCACACACACGTCCCTGAATCCCCTATTGGACTGAATAGACATTGAGTGACCCTCACCACCAACCAACAGTACCTGCTGTGCCTGCTGCCACCCTGGCTGCTTCTGCAGCACTGCCTCCTGCTCAACCCTGATTACTACTCTACTGGTGCTGCCAGTGCCGCATGCACACATGCATGCCCATCGAACTGAATAGACAGTGAGTGAACCCAACCAACCAACAGTACCTGCTGCGCCTGCTGCCACCCTGGCTGCTTCTGCAGCACTGCTTCTCGCATGCCCTCATATCGCTGCTTCCACTGGAACAAAAAGAGAAGGGAGGGGAATGGGGAGGGTAGAAGGAATGGGAGAGATTTGGAGGATTGGGAAAGAGTAAGAGAAACGAGCATCACTCAAAACCCACACCGCGTCTCGCATGCCCCCATACTGCTGCTTCCACTGCAGCACATGAAGAGGGTAGGAGAATTGGGGAAGGGTAGACGGAACGGGCAAGACTTAAAGCCACACATCATCTCAAGAGCCCATTCCCCATACCACACCTCGTGCTCCCACCACACCGATCTTTATCCCTCTCGCTCATCTCCTCCCCTTCCTCCAATGCCGCCCGCGGCAGCAGCCAGAAGGCAAATATTCACCCCCACATGTCATGCCCCATGTTATACCACATGCCATGCCCCATGTTATACCACATGCCGAGCCTGCTCCCAACCCACCAACTGCCACACCCCACCCCCACGTACCTCGTGCTCCCACCACACCGATTCCTTGTCCCTCTCGCTCATCTCCACCCCATCCTCCAGTTGCTGGCCGCTGCAGCAACAAAAGGCAGCGCGGTTCGGGTTCTTGCATTGACTCAGGGGATGGCTGTGGGAGCGAAGCGGAGGAAAGGGAGAGAAGTGGAGTGAAAAGGGGAGGAATGAGAGAGGAAGGCAAATATTCACCCCCACATGTCATGCCCCATGTTATACCACATGCCATGCCCCATGTTATACCACATGCCGAGCCTGCTCCCAACCACCACACCTGCCACACCCCACACCCCACGTACCTCGTGCTCCCACCACCACCGATTCCTTGTCCCTCTCGCTCATCTCCACCCCATCCTCCAGTGCTGGCCGCTGCAGCAACCAAAAGGCAGCGCGGTTCGGGTCTTGCATTGACTCAGGGGATGGCTGTGGGAGCGAAGCGGAGGAAAAGGGAGAGAAGTGGAGAAAAGGGGAGGAATGAGAGAGACAGTGCATGAAGAAGGGTTGAGGCGTACACAAGGGCCGCTGCAGCAGGCAGAAGGCAGCGTGGTTGGGTCTTGCATTGCCTCGGGGGACCTGTGGGGGTTGGGTTGGGGGTGGAGAGGGGGATAAGGGAAAGGGAGTGGAGGAAAGGGGGAAGCAGCGAAGCAAGGGGAAGTTTGAGAGGACACGAGGGCAACAGACAGGAGGAGAGAGTGGGGATGGCTGTGGGGGTAGAAGAGAGGAGAGGGTAAGAAAATCATAAGGAAGGGAGGAAGGGTGTGGCATGACTCATGCATGATGGCATCTGTGAGTCGCAGTACACACACACAAACCATGGCATGATGCATCATGCATGCATGGTGACATGCTCTGTTCCGTCTGTATGATGTTTATAATGTGTTACCTCCACAGATGCATTGGAAACGCGCTCAATACACAGAGAACTCGAGAAAACTGGTGTGCCTGGCAATAGCGCGACGCGAACACCCCCTCCATCCGTGCAAACACCTCCTGCCATGCCATCCATCCGTGCAAAAACCTGCTGTCATGCCATCCATCCGTGCAAACACCTCCTGTCATGCCATCCATCCGTGCAAACACCTGCTGTCATGCCATCCATCCGTGCAAACACCTCCTGTCATGCCATCCATCCGTGCAAACACCTGCTGTCATGCCATCCATCCGTGCAAACACCTCCTGTCATGCCATCCATCCGTGCAAAAACCTGCTGTCATGCCATCCATCCGTGCAAACACCTCCTGTCATGCCATCCATCCGTGCAAACACCTGCTGTCATGCCATCCATCCGTGCAACACTCCTGTCATGCCATCCATCCGTGCAAAAACCTGCTGTCATGCCATCCATCCGTGCAAACACCTCCTGTCATGCCATCCATCCGTGCAAACACCTGCTGTCATGCCATCCATCCGTGCAAACACCTCCTGTCATGCCATCCATCCGTGCAAACACCTGCTGTCATGCCATCCATCCGTGCAAACACCTGCTGTCATGCCATCCATCCGTGCAAACACCTCCTGTCATGCCATCCATCCGTGCAAACACCTCCTGTCATGCCATCCATCCGTGCGCTATGCAACCTACCATGACAGGTTTGGCCAGTGTGCATCCCACCGTGCACGGGCATGCAATGACATGACATGACATGCCATGCCATGCTATGCCATGCCATGCCATGCTATGCCATGCCATGCCATGCCATGCTATGCCATGCCATGCCATGCCATGCTATGCCATGCCATGCCATGCCATGCCATGCCATGCCATGCCATGCCATGCTATGCCATGCCATGCCATGCCATGCCATGCCATACCATGGCAGATCAACATCACATCACGAGCCATTTCCAAGCCATGCCAAGTCATGCCACGTACCATGACAGGTTTGGCCATGCGGTATGCATCCCAGGCCTTCAGAGGCGAATCAAGAACCTGCGAGAGGGGAGGAGAAGAGAGCAACAAGGGGTTGGTTGGGTATGAAATTCGGCCATGCGGAAGGCATCCCAGGCCTTCAGGGGAGAGTCAAGAGTCAAGAACCTGGGTCCTGGGAGGGGGAGGACTTGTGAAAAGAGGACAGGTGGGCCGTGGGTGGAGGCGTTACGTCCAGACACAGCCCAGGGCAAAAGAGGACAGGTGGACACTCGGAGGTCTGTGTGCTTTAGGACAACGAGACGACCCCCATGTTTCAGGTGGGTGGAAAAAAAGCCTGGCAACAGCCGATTCAAGAGTCAAGGATCTGGGAGAGGGGAGGAAAAGGGGTGGACGGACGGGGTGATTCGCACTTACATGGTATGACACATAGCAACCTGGGGCAGCACTGCAGCAGCACAGTGTGATGAGGTTGTTTTTGAGACGTCTCAAAACGGACGGGGTGATTCGCACTTACATGGCATGACACACATAGCAACCTGGGGCAGCACTGCAGCAGCACAGCGGGGCACACACACATACAAACACATCCATCCCCTCTCCTTGCACCCCTCAGACCTTCCATGCATTACCTCTCAATCGGCTCTCACGTGTTACTCACCCGGTCGAATGTGATCTAGTGCTTCCACGCGTCTCCATTGCACACTGAACAGAACACCTCATCAACCCCGACCCATGACACGTGGGGCACAGCGAGGCAGCAGAGTGAGGTGCTAACGAGGTGACTTTTGAGTCGACTCAAAAGGCAGCAGAGTGAGGTGCTAACACACACGTATTTTGAGTCGACTCAAAAATAGGCAGCAGAGTGAGGTGCTCACACACACGATCAACCCCTCTCCCTCCATGCCTGCCTGGCCTTTTGAGAGGTCTCAAAACTCTCCCTCCATGCCTGCCTGGCCTGCCCGTCTCGCATCGCATCGCATCTCACCCTGTCAAACGTGATCTTGTTTTCCACGCGTCGCCATTGCATACTGAGCATTTCATAACCCCTGACCCGTGGCACGTGGGGCAGAGAGAAACAGAGGCAGCAGCAGCTGCGGAGGAAGAGGAGGGAAACGGCAGGGTGTGGTGATGCCACGAGGAGAGATTGCCCAGAGGACCTGAGGGTTGGGGAAAGGGGGGGATTGGGAGAAGCGGTTGGTTGGGGTAGAGGGGGCTTAGAGTAAAGTTGGTGTTGGGGAAAAAGGGGTAGAGGGAGTGGAGCAAAGGGGGGTCGGGAAACGAGGGGCTGCAGGAAAGAGAGGTGGAATTGAAATTCTGAGCCGTGTCGAGATTGGAGCAGGAGATAGGGCACAGCATGTCATGGAAGAAAACCCGGGGTGGGGGGGGGGGAGATGGGGATAGGAGATTGCATACAGACAGGGAGTGGTACGCACTTGCTGGATGGCAGCGCTTGTCTTCTAGTGTGTCCTGTTCCTCGGCATGTAGTGCATGCAACTCCTTCCCATCCATTGCATCCCTCGCACTCCCTGTGTGGCATGGCATGGCATAGAATGGCATGGCATGCAGAGTGAGTGTGAGACAGCACAATGGACGAGAATCAACACACACACAATGCAACACAAAGAGTACACAAAGATTTACACGACTGTAAAACCAACACTTGATCTCCGGCCCATCCCGATTCAATCCAGTATCAACTTGCCCAGTCCCTCCCACGCCATCCTACCTGGCACCATCATACCTGGCACGAGCCTACGTGGCATCATCCTACCTGGCACGAACCTACGTGGCATCGTCTTACCTGGCGCCATATAACCGGGCGACGACGAATCAGTTGTAATGGCTGCTGTGCCCGCTGCTGCTACCGCCTGTAGTTACATCGCGTGTGGAGGGAGGGGGGGAGTGCGAGAAGGGGAAGGAGGGGAAGAGAATGAAGGGGGAGAAGGAGAGGTCGAGGGGAAGAGAGCAGAGAGTGGGGAGAGTGAAAGTGAGGGGGGGGAATCATGGCTTGATAGGCCCTGATCTGACGGGAATGTGGTTACATACGATCACGTGTTTTGTGGCTCTGTAACGCGGTGACCGTTGAGGCGACTCGACAGCCAGCTAAGCGCGATGCGAGGTTCAGGGTTTGCGTCCAGGCGTGAGAGCGAATGTCTTGGGTAACGGCTTATATTATCTCTGTCCGACATTTCAGTCGTTTCAAAGGGTATTTTTTCCACCAACGATTAACCGTCTGCAAATGATTCCTCCCGATATTGTCATACGCAATGATAACTTCCAGGCGTCAATGAGAGCCGGGGCAAACGGGGATCCTAGAGGTGATATAAACGAGAGCACGAGAAGACGAGAAATCCCTGAGAGATGCACCTAACAAGCTCGAAAACCTATAACAGACAGACACTCCAATGCAGAACGATCTGAACGGAAAACGGCTCGGTTGGAATGGGGAACACAGCTTTTGCAATGGGGTTCTAGTAGGACCAGGTCAAGGGATGGAAAATGGTTAAGTCGGCGGGTTTACGAAGCATCCGAAACTGGCGATGCTGGTAACCGCCCTAGGGATGCCAAGGGCCCGTTCGAAGCGCCTCCTGCGACTCGGTGCGCAGCTCGAAAACGAGCTCCTGCGCGAATTGCGCCGCGGCTTGCGCGACGCCCTGCACCTGCTGAACTGCGCGGGCGATAGGAGGCGGCACCATGGCGAGTGTACGGCAGGTTAGGTTGGTCTCGCGGCGCCGGAAATCACCCGTGTGGCCTTCGGAAATGAGCGAAAAAGAAAGCTAGTCGTTCCTTGCTGTAACGTCCAAACTTAGGGTGTTATAAGTTATCAAAGAAGAGAGTGCGCAGATTGCAATATCGAGGAAGCGATTGCAATTACTCAAAGGTTCATACGCGCTGAAACAGTACAAACACGGGCGAGTTCATACACCACAGAACATTCTGACAGCAAACCCAGCCACATGCTACTGTACCGAGTTCGTTTCTCAGAGGGACCTCCCCTCGATGGCAATTTTGGGATGTAACAACTAGGTTTCTGCGTCAACTGATCGTCTGCACGTCTTCTATTCGCTTTAGCCAGCGATGGCTGCTCTAGACCTTGAGGCTCTAAAGAGTTACGTACGAGATGGTCCCACGGGTTCCAGCGCCCTTGCTGCTCCTAACGACGGCGACACCGTGTCTCTGCTCGTAACGCACAGTCATCTGAAGCGGCAATTCATTGACATGAAGTTCTCGCTAAGTGCAAGTTCACCGAGTCGCTCCCCTTCATCAGCAGACCTATTCGTCATTTGTTCCTTGACGTGTTATTCTTGTGTGATAGTTTGAATTTGCACGTCGACGCGAAAAATCTTTACGTCGTTCCATTATCTGAGAAAAGTACTCGTTTTTGGATTCATAAATACGTACAATCCGTGCTGTTCTCTCTCTGAGCAGAGCTCTGTAGAGCGCGTGAAGGAGCAGCTTCAGGTGCACACCGGACAGCCGTGTCTGCCATGCAGCTGCAGCTTTTCAGTGCTTCCAGCAAGTCGTCAGAAACAGACACATTGTTACATTCAGGACTCGAGGACATTCGACTGCTGGGATACTACTCCCCTCAAAACGGGTACTCTTCATGACCCGAAGCTATTACTGGCCTTTCAAGTGAGGCTCCTGACGATGGAAATTATTTTATTGAGCAACGCCCAATCTCTGCATATTTGATATTGATTTTTCTTTTTGTTTTGGACAGGTACCGTCTCCACGTGATTGACACTGATCCCACCTCAGCAGCTGCCTCTGGATGGCTGGACGACACGTCCTTGGTGGAGAAATACACGATTTCTGAAGAAGATTATGAAAAACGAGATGGTAAATGATGCGCGAGCAACGTCTGACATCATTGTTCTTGTTTTTCAACTCTGAGTCAGCTGTCTGCTTGCAGGTTGGCGACAGATGTGAGGTGGACCCAGGCGGCAAGAGAGGAAGTGTTGCCTTGTGGGCACTGTAGATGTTCTTCCTAATGGATTCTGGGTGGAGTGAAGTTTGATGAGCCTGTGGGGGTCAATGATGGAAGGTGGGTATATATATATATTTTTAATTATGTATCGTTGAGCTTTTATTCCACCCTTCTCTTTCAGCTTCTCTTTTTCTCTCTTCTGTGTTGCTGCGTTATCATGCCCAGCATTCTAATGCAGGCCGCATAGCTTGCATTGTGGCTTCTTTTTTCTCTGCTTGCAGTGTGGAGGGTAAGAAGGTCTTTCATTGTGAGCGCAATTACGGCTCGTTTCTGCGGCCAGACAAAGTCAAAGTGAGTGGGGCTAGTTGCCTTATAACCCAGTAATTTCCCCTTCTTCCAGAGTGCAATTTGATTCTGACTTCACCTTCTGCCTTGGCAGATTGGAGAATACCCTGAAAGAGATCCGTTTGACGATGACGAGCCTGATGAGTTTTAATGACAAAATATATACCGTATTGTCATAGCAAGCCAATTACATGGTCATGCTTTCAGTGATGGAAAGGTACGGTAACGGTGTAGCTTATTTGAGGAGTTTTGCCCAGCTACTTAGTAGTTCAACCTCTACTTACTGTCGCAGCATATTGAAAAGTGGTCAATATTTCTGACCTTTCCTCACCGCAGGCAAGCTGCGTGGTTCGAGGCAGGGCTGACGTTTCAGGGCTGCGTTCTGCAGGCACGACAGAGGGGGGGGAGGCGGTAAATAGGAACCTTCCCCCAACTGCGTTTTTTGGATCAAACGCCCGGTCAGCCCGGAAAATGGATCCGAGCCTGCCATTTACCCTCCGAACGTAACGAAGGTAAATGGCAACAGAACAGCCATTTACCCTCGAGGGTATGAGGGCGTAGGAAGCTGCCTATTTCCCCACCCCAGCTTCCTTCTCTGGCAAAATTTGCCTCCTCCTCCCCCCCTTTCGAAAACTGCTCTTGCCCTGGATGTGAGACGGAGGGGGAGGGAGGCGGGGGGTTCGGGAACACCAAGGTTGAACCCTAGAAAGCAACAGAACCTCCCTTAAGTAGCCCAAACAGGGACGCGTCAAACTAACAGGAAAAAAACACAGCGAGTTTGTGTATTGCTGGAGGTAGTGCCTGGGGACCCTTTTTTTCTACGTGGTAACCCTTCTCTAAAATTCAACCTTTTTTCTGATTTCGCGCAGCTCTATCTACCCAAATTCTGTGCGGTGGAAATTGTGGCTGTTTTTTCGGCATTTACCTTCAGCAGCTTCGCACCCTAAACCCGAAATTTCCAACTTTCGGTTGTAGCGGGGTGGGGGGGGGGATTCGAAGGGGAAACTGCCTCTGAACCCTCGTCATTTCCCTTCGCCCCCCCACCTCCCTCCCAAGGGAAATGCCTGCAGAACGCAGCCCAGATGTTTCGCGAGCAAATCTCGAACATACTTGTGGGAGAGCCGTGTTGTGTGGTGCAATCTCAGATTCAATGCTATCTCTACGATAACCTAAGGGCGCGTGTCTTTTGGTGTAGAGATAAAAAATGAGGTCGAACTTTTGCTGGTAACCAGATTCGCCAGTTTCGTTCAGAGCTGTTGACGACGATCGTGTGTCCAAGCTCAAAGTTGAAGAAAACAGCAGGACACTGAACCTGGATCGACCTCGCATTCACTAAGCCTCGAGCACGTTTCTGCAAACGTGTGTTCTTCTGCCCACGGACGAAAAATATGCGAGCTTCGCGAAGGTAACGACTGTGTCGTGACAGGTTACACAAATTTCATGTGTTGACGAACTTAATTTCTTACACCTGGTAACCTAAGAAACTGGGCACGACTCGGATTTTGCTGTACATATTCGAACTTTGAAAGTCGAGCATTTATTGTGCCATGTGCTCCACGTCAAAGGTGAACACGCGACTCGACAGGAAATGATGAGATAGTCGACTACAGGTCGACCAGTGTTCATCTGCCAAGTTCACGTGAACTTTGGCCTAAATTTCAAAAGACACGCGCCCTAAAACATCCGTGTGCTCTAAGAACACGTGCCGAGCTTTAGACCCCCCTGAAAACGTATGTGTTTCGCTTAGTCGTAAACGTAGCTCCTGAAAAACAAACCTTCCCGCAACTCTGACGATACCCCAACGTGACTTTCTGAAGCACCAATTTTTGAGATGTCGTGCACTGCATCCCCGGCATCCACGCCCTTCTCGCTCCTTGTCCCGCCATCCGCTCGACACTGCTCCGTTCAATCGGTCGTGCCTGCGTTACGCCATAACCCTGTTCTTCGCCAGCCAGCCGCAAGCCTTGACTCTCCTCAGCCTCACCCCTCACCCGCGTCTTCCAGCTTTCCTTCTCGTCTGTCCCCTTCCTGTACTCCCTCTGTCCGTGCTTCCTCACTTAATGGAAACCCACCGAACCTTACGCCACTGTATCAACTCAGTAGGCTCGAGGCATCCGAACGTGCAGTGGCCGTGTATCATGAAACCAATGCGTCTGCCAGGTCAGCACGGTTGGATTCCAATACCACTGGATTAAGAAGCGACCTACCTGAGGGCTCAAGGGAAGAGAGATTCGTCAGGAGTCCGGAGAGTAGATCGGTAGAGTACGATAGCAGCGATGACCAGGAGATACAGTTCGCGGGTGCCCTCAGCGATAGTGATTGCAGCAACGGTGATTATACCAGCGAGAGTGATAATGACACGATCGAGGATACGGCTGTCGGGGTTTACGCAGAGAAACTAGTCTGCTTGGTCAGACCTGAGGCCCCTCTAATTGCGAATCTGCAAAAAGGAGACGGAGATTCCAGTTCTTCTCTCACGAGTCCAGAGCATCCGATAGCGTCAACGCGCGACTCTCAAAGAGCAGCAGCGGGAGCGCCAGCAATTGCAGCAGCATCTGAAGTAAGAGAATCTGATAAGCTTATGGCAATCCGACGGCCTAGAATGCTCCCTCCAGTGCCTGTATCTGCATCTGTCGAATTGAAGGCCAAAGGCTTTCAAGATACGCGGGTTTTTCGCAGAAAAGGGCGCATTTCGCAGAAACAATCAGACCAAGCAGCGATGTCCTCAGCAGCAACACCAACACCAGCCACACCACCACCAACCCATCGTTACAAGCAGCCAAACCAGCACGACCGTTATCAGCGATACCGCCGTCCCCTCCCTCCTCTTCCTTTACCTCCTCCTCCTCCTCCTCCTCCTCCTCCTCCTCCTCCTCCTCCTCCTCCTCCTCCTCCTCCTCCTCCTCCTCCTCCTCCTCCTCCTCCTCCTCCTCACCCTCCTCCTTCTCCTCCTCCTCCTCCTCCTCCTCCTCCTCCTCCTCCTCCTCCTCCTCCTCCTCCTCCTCCTCCTCCTCCTCCTCCTCCTCCTCCTCTTCCTCCTCGTCTACCCCCCCTACCCCTCGCCCCCTGCAGTCGACAGTGTGGGTGAACAAAGCAGCGCCCAGAGCCCCCCGCCACAGAGCAGACAGGATGGTGAACCGAAGCCCCGTCAGCGACCGCGTGCTACAGGCGATTGTGGCTATACAGAGGGCCAGGCGAGTGGCTGGAGAAGGCGCCAGGGGAGGCCAGGGAGGTATAAGGGGTGTAGAGAGTCAGCAAAGTCAAGCAAGTCAACGGAGCCTTGGTGGAGGGGCGGATGGGAGGGTGCGTGGCAGGGGGGGGTCGCTGAAGGAGGTGGTGGCGGAGGTGGCGGGGGGCCTGGAGAAGCGCGAGGTGGAGGAGCTTATGACGGAGCTGCAGCGACGCCACGACTGGAAGGCCACCCTCGAGGTGAGGTGACGCACACTGTTGGGGCATCTCCTCATGGCGGGCAGGGCGCAATCGCACACTGTTCAATCTCGCTGCTCCAATGAGAAAGACGGTCAGAGCGCAACCGCAGCAACCCCTGCCCCTTTCCTCCGCTCCCCATCCCTTCTCCTTCCGAAGACGCGTCTCTATCGTGGGCTTCTTAGCCACCCAGTGGCGTCTCCTTTATCCTCAACTCCTCCCCTTCCTCCCTCCCCGCCCTCCGCCCGTCTCTGATGCGGCAGGTGTTTGCGTGGAGCCAGCAGCAGGCGTGGTTCCGCCCCAACATGCGCCTCTACAACGCGCTCATGGGCTTCCTCGCGAGGGAGCAGCAGGCGCATGCCGCTACGCTGCTCTTCCAGGACATGCTGCTGTCGCGCGCGCGCCCCAACCACTTCACGTACACCGCGCTCATCAACGCGTACGGCCGCGCCGGGTGGTTCGAGGATGCCCTCGCTGTCTTCGAGCACATGAAGACGTGCGACGACGACGACTGCCGGTGAGGGGAAGGGGGACCAATGAGGGTTACCACCACGATGTGCCATGGCCCTTCACATCAAACCCCTTCCCCAAACCACCTGTGCAACTCACTGTAAAACCTCTCGACCCCTTGCCACCATTCTGCCATCCCACCCGCCCAGGCCCAACACAGTGACGTGTAACGCGCTGATTGGTGCGCTGTGCAAGGGGGGCATGTATGACGAGGCGGTGGAGGTGTTCATGGACATGCGTGCGGGGGCGGGCGGCCTGCCACTCAACTGCAGGTCAGCCGTGCCGTGCCGTGCTGTGCTGTGCTGGGCCCACAGTGGGTGGGTACCTGCAGAAAAAACATTGTGGGCGTGTACGCTTATGCAGGTAGAGGAGGAGCAGCCAGCTACGGGCCTTATGCCCTGCTCTGCTAGCACGTTAATCATCAGAGAAAGACGCCCTTCACGCTTAGGGCGACAGCGACACAAGTGCAGTTCTGGCAGAAAGTGAAGAGTAGACTAGTTCTCAGAGGAAAATGGTTCCTTGCATATCTCAGCTTCTCGCTCCTTCCTCTTACAAAATGGCATACAACACGCTCATGTGCGGGTTTGGGGTTCTCAATGCTTCTCTTTTTTTTTTCCTTCTACCCCTCTCATCCCCCTCGCCACCCACGTCTTCCCCCCTCAGGCCCAATATAGTGACATACAACACGCTCATCGACACCTTGTGCCGGGAAGGCCAGCTCGATGCCGCTCTGCAGGTGGGTATGCTGCACGACTACGCTTTGCTGGTGTGAATACGGTCTGCTGGTGTGAATACGGTTTGCTGGTGCAACACGGTGAGCTAGCTGGTGCACATTGTGCATACACGCATCTCATACATTTTGGTTCTGCTCCACCGCATGCATCATCAGCTACATCTTCCAACTTCACTAACCCCCATCCTCCATACCCCACCCCACTCGCCCCCCAGGTGCTGGAGGACCTGTCATCGGGCGTGCTGGACGCGCAAGTGGCGCCCAACATAGTGACATTCAACACCATCATCAACGCGTGTGGCAAGGCGGGCCGCGCCCCCGACGCCGAGGCCACGCTGCAGGCCATGGAGCGCACCGCCATGGCGCCAGACGGCATCACGTTCACCGCGCTCGTCGACGCGTACGGCCGCACGGGCGACGTGGACCGCGCTGAGGAGGCGTTTCAGCGCATGCTGCAGGCGGGCATCGCCCCAGACGTGTTCTCCTACACGGCGCTCATGGCTGCGTTTGGCCGCGCTGGGCTGTCCGACCGTGTCACGGAGACGCTGGCTGCCATGCAGCGTGCAGGCGTGCCGCCCAACGAGGTGACGTTTCTCACCGTGCTGGACGCCCACGGCAAAGCGGGTAACTACGAGGAGGCTGAGGCCACGCTCGCCGCCATGGTTACGTGCGGTTACCGCCCGTCGGTGTACAGCTGGAGCTGCTTGATTGACGCGTTTGGGAAGGCGGGGCTGTATGCCAAGGCAGCAGGGGCGTTTGAACGCATGCAGGCCGAGGGGTGCCGCCCGAACCTGATCACGTATGCAGCCATTTTGTCTGCTTGTGCGCGGTGCGAGAAGTGGGAAGATGCGCTGGAGCTGCTGTACTGCCTGCAGAGGACTGGCGGCGAATGGGAAGTCGCCATGTGTCGCCTCGTGATGGCAGGCCCAGAGGAGGAAGGAGTCGAGTGTGCGAGCGAGGAGGAGGTGGTGGAGGGACTGGTGAGAGGAGGGGCGGCGGGAGGGGCGGGCAGGAGGGGCGAGAGGGCGGACGAGGGACTGTGGGAGTCGGCAGGGCGGATGTTCGGCGCGTTTCAGGCAGTGCCGGTGGCCATGCGTCGCTCCTTCTACAACGCCCTGGCCGACGTGCTCTGGAGCTTCGGCATGCGGCGCCGCGCTGCCCGCGTGGTGGCGCTGGGCCGGGGCCTGGGCGTGTACGGCGGGGCTGATGACCTGCACAAGGAGGCGCGCGGTGCACGCCGGGGGGGCGCGGGGCGCAGGGAGAGCAGCAGCAGCGGCAGTGAGAGTGAGAGTGGTACTGGGAGTGGGAGTGGGAGTGGGAGTGGGAGTGGGAGTGGGAGTGGGAGTGGGAGTGGGAGTGGGAGTGGGAGTGGGAGTGGCAAGCAGAGGGGTGGGGGGGGCGGCAGGGGCGGGGGCATGTGGAGGGAGGAGGGCGTGTGGAGTGTGGACCTGCACGAGCACTCCATTGGCTCCGCCTGTGCCTTCCTCTTCCTCTGGCTCCGCGACCTGCGCACCGCCTGGCAGGTGCGCCAAAGCCAGGGGGCAGGGGAGAGGCTACAAGGGAAGGGAGATTGGGGAGAGTGGAGGGTGTCGATTCTGGAAAGGGACTTGCTCGTGCCATTGTGTCCTCGTGCCCACTGCCTGTGCATTGCATTGTGAGCGTACCTCTTCGTGCCTTTCCTCCCCATTACGAGATAGCACCAACTCTCTCCTCACTCGCTTCCCAATCCTCACCAATCCCCCATCCATCCGTCAAACTCCCTCCACTCTCTTTCTACAACTCCTTGCTCTTCCTCCCTGCGTACTGCCCACCATGCCCCCTGCCCCCTGCCCCCTGCCCCTTGCCCCTTGCCCCCTGCCCCCTGCCCCTTGCCCCCTGCCCCCTGCCCCCTGCCCCCTGCCCCCTGCCCCCTGCCCCCTGCCCCCTGCCCCCTGCCCCCTGCGTGCGTGTGTGCCTGCGCATGTCACAGTGGCACAATGAGATCCCGGAGGCCATCGATATAGTCACGGGGTGGGGGCGCCACAGCAAGCGCAAGGACGCCACGTCAGACAAGCCAGCACAGGTGGCGCCCCTCAAGGCAGCGATCCTGAGGGAGCTGCACCTCATGCACTCGCCCTTCCAGGAACTTTCTGTCAATGCCGGTCGTCTTGTGGCGGGCGGGTGGGCGGCATACTCGTGGCTGTTGCAGGAGGAGATGGAGGAGCGGCTGCAGCTCAGGGATGCGCCCCAGCCCGTGCCTCCTGGGGACAAACCGTACCAACCACTGCAACAGACTCAGTAGATAAGGAGCAAGCACCCGTTTCGAGGTGCTCTTATTTGTTGCTCAATGGGCTTTGTTTTCCGTAAGCGATACAAGCACTTCCCCTTGTGCCCTAGGTTTGTGCTCGACAAGTGAATGGGATGGTTGCTGGCATGGCTGTGCCATGTATTGTAATTATACAATGCATAGATTGTCAAAACATGTGTTCATATTTCTCTTGGTTGTAGTGGTTTTAGCGTTAGGGAGTATGGTTTTTCTCTCGACATTCTGCTTGTACCCCCTCTCCTTTAACCTAATCCATGGTTCCTAAGTTCAAACATGGTATCAGAGCAGGTCCTATTCTAGGACCGTTTTTTTTTTTTTTTTTTTTTTTTCAAAGGTCCACCAGTTACTTCCGTCCCCGCCCTGCCCAGCGCTTTCGCGCTGCCCTGCCCTGCCCTGCCGCGCGCAGCCCGTACAGCCTGCTCGCCGCCCGCGCGCAGCCCGTACAGCGTGCGAGCTGCCCACGCGCAGCCCGTACAGTCCGCGCAAGGCCCGCGCGCGGCCCGTACAGCCCGCGCCAGGCCCACGCGCAGCCTGTACGACCCGCGCGCAGCCCGAACAGCCCCGCGCGCAGGGCTCTTGCTAACTTTTAGGCCAGTCTGACGTATTCCCAATTTTTTTTATTTATTTATTATTTTTTTTTTCGTCTAGCTCTCATATGGAGGATTCCTGGTGGTCTTAGCCTCAGACGGATTTTACAGAGCTCGTATGACGATTCAGGCGGATTTTCTAGAAATGAGAAGTCTACACACTGACTAGAGTCTACTCTACTACTACAGATAACCGTACATTCATTCATATTGAACTAGGATTCACTATCACTACCATGAGAGTAATCTTCCTCGTCGTCCCCGTCTAGCTCTGAATCTGAAGACATGTGCTCTTTGCCGTGGTCTGCCCATCTCTGCCAGTGGCCCAACTCCTCCTCTAGCCTAGCTGCTTCTTCTGCAGCTGCTGCTTCACGAGCAGCAGCCTCTGCTGCTGCTGCTGCTGTTGCTGCCGCCTGCTTCGCGACCAACATCGCAAGGGTCTTTTTCGTGCGCTTCACAGGCCTTTGCGCATGCACCATCACCACATCCTTGGCTGGACGTCTCTTCTTCGCACCTCTCCACAGCTCTACAAGGGCGGGCCAGTCAGGTTTGTACTTCAGCATGGAGATGGTCATCAGGTCGCCAAGCTTCGCATTGTTGAGATTGCCGCGTAGCCATCTCTTGATGACGTTCTGGCGGGAGAAGCCCCGCTCGCACTCCACGGTGCTCAGGGACAGCACTGCGACCGCCATCCAAAGGCGGACCAGGTTGGGGTAGGCAGTGCACCAGTCGGGCGAGCTGAGCATCTGCTTCAGGCCGTCCTGGAAGCTCAGCACCTGTTGATGGGTCGACATGATAGTGGTGAAGCTGCTGATCTCCTTCTGTGCTCTCGTCCAGATGACTCCTGGTGGCGGGGTGTGAAACAGAAACAATAATAATGAGAATACGCGTTGTTGTTCTCATGTAAACAAACTCATGCAACCAACGAAGCATATGTTGACACAAACAACATAGACAACTCAATCAAGCACAACCGAAGTCGAAGACGTACCAGGTAGGGTGTCAGGGTCGGTCGGTTTCCGCTTAAACAGATTGCGGAGAGCCTCCAGCCACTGCAAATACCGACGCTGCCGCTTCGAGTGAGATTTCGGGCATGCCCCCTACGTGAACAGCTTGGCGCCCTCGAGAGAGTCCAAATCCTTCATCCGGCTCTCCAGACGCTTCAGCAGCTCCTTCAAGTACCCCTTTGCCAGTGTGATGCAGTCGTCCAGGCCCGGGCCAGATTTCTGACCCTTAATCTTCTATTCATGGAGGGTGTACTCATGAGTGGTCGGCTTCCCAGTCAAGTCGGTGCCCGTCACCTTCACTTCCTTCTTTTCCGACGAGGCATGCTTCGCCAAGAAGGCGCTCAGCTCGTTGCTCCCATCTCCGAAGTCGTCCGTGTCACTCAGGTAACGGTTGCGGAGGGTGAGCCTAGTGTTGTCCACCATCTGCAGCACGTGTGTCACGTCGACCTGCCACACATACATGAGGCAGTGGAAAGGCATGCACGGGTCAATGTCACAATAACACGGTTCATCTACACAAAAAACCCTTAACAGCAAGAGGCGTAACAACGTACCTGCCGTCGCTGGAACTTGAGGTTGATGTCAAACATTGTATATGTTATATTTGTGTAGGCTGTAGTGGGTTAGCCTATAGGGGGGTCACAACATTAGGGTTTCATATTTGTACTCACAGTCCTTTCTAGTTCATCATTCCAGTCTGTTGTTCCGACATGGTTTCAGAGCTTAACGTTCCTGGCCTGTGGGCCCACTTCACTGCTTCCGCTGCTACTGCTACTCCCTGTCCGCCGCGCGCCCCGTGGTGCGCGGCGTCGAAACTAGGGTTTTCAGCCCGCCGTGCGCCCCGAGGCGCGCGGCGGTTTTCTGCCCGCCGTGCGCCCCGAGGCGCGCGGCGGTTCTCTGCCCGCCGTGTGCCCCGAGGCGCGCGACGGGTTCCTGCCCCGTCACTCGGCACGTCGCCCCCGGGAGGCGCTGCGACGGGCGACGGGGACCCGCGCGTCGCCCCCCGTCGCCCGTCGTGGCCTGCGCGCGGCCCGTACACCCGGCGCGCGGCCCGTACGGGCTGCGCCAGGCCTGCGCGCGGCCCGTACGGGCTGCGCCAGGCCCGCGCGCGGCCCGTACGGGCTGCGCCAGGCACGCGCGCGGCCCGTACGGGCTGCGCCAGTCCCGCGCGCGGCTCGGACCGCCTGCGCGCGGTTCGGGAGGCTGTGCCAGGCCCGTGGGCGCCCCGTTCTTCGCTGCCCCTGTCCTCCCCGCTGTCCCCCGTGCTTCTGAAGGCGCCCCACCCCTCCTTCTGCCCGTTCTCCTGGATTAGGGTTTGGGGTTGGGGGGTATGGGGGTGCAGCTTCTGTGTGCCGTTCCCTGCTCCTCCTCCTCCTCCGTCTCCCTGTGCTGCAGCTGCCGCTGAGGGGGGTGGACCTGTTGGAGCCGTCGGAGTGGTACTAAGGGGGGGTGAAAGGGGAGTGGAGCTAGCGGTGTAGCAGCGGGTGTGTGTCGAGGGATGTGGGACTGTTGGGGGAGGTTGAGGGGAGGTTGCCGTCGTGTCGTACGCAGCGCCTGTACTCCGGGGCACTCACTCCCGGTAGCTCAGAGAGCCGGTTGCGCCGTCGCCTGTGGGTCCGTTGCTCCTGCTGCTCGTCTTAGCCGCGGAGCCTGTTACTCCTGTACTCCGGGGCACTCACTCCCGGTAGCCACTGTGTCGCACCAGAGCCGTCTGTTGCCCGTGTGACTGCAGCTTCAGTCGTCGCCTCCCATCTACTCTCCTCTCGCCAGCCCTCCTCCTCCTCACTTCCCCGTTGTGACTACCACTAGCTTTGCTCATAATTGTGAACTTTAAACTATTGCTTCTTAAACTTGTGCTCAGAATGTGTGGTGACATTGTGATCCACCCTGAGCTTGTACTGCTTTGCTTGCTCTGCTGATTACACCCCACTTTGGCTATGGGGGTGTGTCAGAATATTATGCTCTAGCCTGTAGTGAAGTGCTCTATAGCGAGTACAACCCTTCTAGGGTTTGCTATTTGTATCCCCATTCTTGCTAGTGCAACCCCTCTCTTTCGCCTAAACTCTCTTGCCTAGCTAGGACTCTCCTAGCTATGGCTCCTAAGACTACCGCTTATCTCAACATGGTATCTAGAGCAAGCATGATCCTGCCGCCTAGCTCAACGGGCCCACCAACTGCTTCCGCTGCCGTACTTTCCGCCGCGCGCTCCGTGGTGCGCGGCGCTGTATTTTTCTTCCCGCCGCGCGCTCCGAGCGCGTGGCGGCTTTTTCTGCCCGCCGCGCGCTCGGGGCGCGCGGCGGCTTCACCGTCCGTCGAGGCGCCCTCCGGGGGGGGCCTGCCCGCTGCTCCCCCCCCCGTCGCTCGTCGCGGCGCCTTCAGGGGGCCCGCCCGCTACTCCTCCCCGTCACTCGTCGCGGCGCCTTCAGGGGGCCCGCCCGCTGCTCCCCCCCGTCGCTCGTCGCGGCGCCTTCAGGGGGCCCGCCCGCTGCTCCCCCCCGTCGCTCGTCGCGGCGCCTTCAGGGGGCCCGCCCGCTGCTCCCACAGTCGCCCGTCGCTCGCGCCGCCGCCCCTCCTGCAGCTCGCGACGCCGCCCCCACAGCAGCTCGCGACGCCGCCCCTGCAACAGCGCGCGAGCCGCCCCTGCGCCAGCGCGCGAGCAGCCCCTGCGCTCGCGACGCCGCCCCTGCAGCGGCGTGTGTACCGCCCCTGCGCCAGTGACCCGCCCCTGGAGCAGCCGCCCCTGGAGCAGCCCGCGTCGCCGCCCCTGCAGCAGTGCGCCAGCCGCCCCTGCAGCAGCGCGTGTGCCGCCCCTGCGCCAGCGACCCGCCCCAGGAGCAGCCGCCCCTGGTGCAGCCGCCCCTGGCCCCTGCGACGCCGCCCCTGCAGCAGCCGCCCCTGGAGCCGCCCACCACTGCAGCAGCCGCCCCTGGAGTCGCCCGCCACAGCAGCAGCCGCCCCTGGAGCCGCTCGCCACTGCAGCAGCCGCCCCTGGAGTCGCCCGCCACAGCAGCAGCCGCCCCTGGAGCCGCCCGCCACTGCAGCAGCCGCCCCTGGAGCCGCCCGCCACTGCAGCAGCCGCCCCTGGAGTCGCCCGCCACTGCAGCAGCCGCCCCTGGAGTCGCCCGCCACAGCAGCAGCCGCCACTGGAGCCGCCCGCCACTGCAGCAGCCGCCCCTGGAGTCGCCCGCCACAGCAGCAGCCGCCCCTGGAGCCGCCCGCCACTGCAGCAGCCTCCCCTGGAGTCGCCCGCCTCTGCAGCAGCCGCCTCTGGAGCAGCCGCCACTGGAGCCGCCGCCCCTGGTGCAGCCGCCCCTGGGCCCGCGACGCCGCCCCTGGAGCAGCCGCCCCTGCAGTAGCCGGCCCTGGCCACTGGAGCAGCCGC